TGTGTTTCTTGTTTGCAGTACGTGATGTTTACGAGGCTAAATATAGTTAGATACCTTTCTCCACGAGTATAACATGTCAATGGACTTTAGACACAAGATGTATTTCAAATTACGTATTAAAGTGTAATAATGCGACATAATATTTTTATCGAAAGAAATTAATTTAAATGCTTCAGTTTTTTAATGTGTGCCCTCGACTCTACATTTTTCATAAATTCGGCGAAAGTTTCAACTTAAAGCCTGCGTATTAATTACAAGCAATAGTAAAACTCATTACTTAATCGTCTTAATCTAATTTCACTTTACAAGGTTAAAAAACAATTAGCCGTGCAACAGATTTACACATTTCAATGTATGGAAATTAGAAAATTGTATTATGCTTTTCAGCTTTATATTTTAAAATTCTATGTCTATGTGTAAAATTGTATAAAATAAGTTTTATACAATTAAAAACTACACTTTTTCTTTCTTTCTTTAAGTTGTTTTTATTGTCAGTAAAATGTTAATTTATGAATCATAATGTACATGATAAAATTCGTGTAAATCTATTTGTTAAACCGCTTTACCTTACACATTAGCCTATTCAAAATATCATTAAAAAATAGAAGCTTTATTAGTTTATTAATTTATTCGTAAACTGCCTTCTTTTTAACATTTTCATGATAATTCGAAACAATATCAATATTATGATTATTAGCTGCTCAAGATTATAATTAAGTACAATTTTAAGTTGAAAGTACTGTGCATTCTGCGATTGTTAACATAATTAAGTGAGATCGAATTTGTGAGAATAAATGTTTTGCCAAAATCTTATAATTAATAGATAGCTGATTTTAAATCTTGACATATTACACTGAAGCTATTAATTGAAGATATTATTTTGACTATTTATTTTCCAAATTATACATTAGGTAGTTTTCTTACAAGATTGCTCATACATATATGAGATGAAAAATGCTATTAAGCGAAGTATGGTTTACGAATATTACAGCCTTTATTTCATAAGATAATTATACTAATTCGATTCACATACTTCAAATAAATTAAACTAAATGTCGATGCACGTGAGAACTGCAAACAATAACAATACATTAACCATGAATTGTTAAATCGCCATCATATCCTTTCAATCGGTATTAATATTAAAAAAAAAAAAAAAAAAAAAATGTAAAATACCTACTATCGCCACAATACAAATTATAAATAAGTTATACCTTATTAACGAAGTTCTCTCATTCACCACAGCAAAAACGTACGTAACTACATTATGTGACAGTCGTAGCAATTTAGATAAGATTGACATTTAATATCTCTTCAATAATTTATATATAATTATAAATATAAACATATAAAAAAAAAAATATATATATATATATATATATATATGTAATACATATGAATATTGCCCATTAATTTTAGAGATAAACAATATATTATGTATTCATACTTTATGGCATATACACCATTCAAATACTTATAATTAGGTTTATATATTATTTGTGCATCAGTATTGAGTGTGTGGCATGTGTGTAGTTATGAAATGTCATTAATAAACTTTCTAGTTAAATAAAAATATTTACACAATACAGGTAGTAATATTTATACTATAATATTTTTAATCAATTATTTTTTTAATATAAAGTTGTAATAATTTTAAAATCCACGTATCTAGTGCTCACCTTCAAACATAATATCTATTTACTATCTGTATTATTGTTAAAAAATATAAAAACTATATAAATATATTAAACTTAATTTAAAAAATTGTTACATATTTATTATCAGTGCTTGTAAGAGCTATTCATGATCTTTTTTAATACATAAATTACATAAATACTAGATATTAGATACATCAAAAAATTGACATTTAACGATAGATGATTTAATGATTTAAATAAATCATATGTTCGATTTACTAATCGAATTTATATATGAAATATTTATATCAAATTGTATCATATATTTCTAGAATATATATAATTTATGTAATTATTGAACAATAATAATCATAATACAAACAGAACTTATTTTTTTTTTGTCTTTTAAAGTATCAAACATATTTTTATAGACAAAATATTCAAATATTTCAATAGTAAAGTAAAATACATAATTTTCCATGCTTTCATCAAACAATATTTCCATTCTTGATATTCCAAGAGATAATTTCTCATTTTAATATATACGATTTAGTAATCATATACGTAATAATTTTATTTATTATTATATGTCAACAAAATTTAAACTTCAATTTAAGATTCAATATTTTCAAAAGAAATTAAAAAATCATTAGAATAATGTATCATCTGAAAAATGAAATTTTAAACGATTATATTTACTAGTTTTCAATGAATTTCAATTTGTACGCTGATGCATAGTTTATGTATTTTTTTTTTTTAATAAAATAGAATAAACATATTATTTATTAAATCTTTTGTAATATAAATGTTAACAAATTCTATAATGCGCAATATCAATACTTAATAATAAATGTAAAATATGAATGCATAAAGGATTCCAACCTATATATTTACTAAAGAACTCGTAATATAAAATTATAGAAATATTTTTTAAATTAATTAATTTTAAGTAGCTTTAAATCATGCTTAAATTAAGGATTAAGTATATTTAAAATATTATATACAATGTAATGGTATTTATAGATAACTTTTTTTTTTTAGTCATAACAAGTAAGTGTCAAGTTACTATGCGTCATAAATGTTTATAAGATATTGAAAAAAAAAAAAAAATACTTCATAGACCCGATGAAAAATTTTAGTACTCAGCAACATTAATAATTAAAATAAATTTAAATAATGATAATGCTGAGTTATCATACACGCAGGTATACATTTAAAAATGGAGAAAAGTATTGTATTTTATCTGCATAATTATTAAACCAGTAGGAAATATTTTTCATTTATTTTTATAATTTCTCCAATTTATTAGCATAAAATTATATTGTTTTGACCGTGTTATATTCATTTTTAAATTTAATAAAAGAATATGCAATTAAAAAAAAATGTTATCTTTTAATTTAAATGCTTAAATTAAATTCGATGAAAATATTAAAACTTTACAAAGCGCATCATTATTTAATTATTATTAATAATAATATGAAAATACAAATGTATAATATAATTATTAAATTTCAATTTTCCTAGTTTTTTTTTTTGTTTATTAATTTTGCCCATTTTTTTCTAATCTTATAAATTTATGTCTGATGAATCATTTTATCATTTAAAACTTTAAAGATTATTTATATGTACATTTATAATAATATATACAATAATGATTGAAGAAGTTTTATAAAATATTAGTAAAATAAATAAATGCAAATATATAATATGTTAACTCACATGTATAATCTAGCAATTTAAATGATATATTTGTAAGGAAAATATAAGGTAAAATGTCCGATTAACGTTTTTTTTCTTTTTTTACATTTTAGAGGTTAATGGGAGTATATGTTTTTGGATTTATTAGTAAATAAAATTTGAATAAGCAATAATTGAGATAATGGTAATATGCATAAAACGGACGTTGAATTTAAAAAAAAAAACGGTAATTATTAGAATCCTGCGGGAGTCTTAAAACTTTTGGCAGTTATTCAACTCTTATTTAATGGACTATGTTCGGCCAACTAATGTATGTCCTGAATTGATAACTTACAACTTACGAAATTTGTATAACACGTAACCAATAATAAAATAGTAATATTGAAAGTTGATTAAAAAATCCCCAAAATAACGAAACAAATAATAAAAATCTATAATATTATCATTATAGTATTATAATTACCATTTTCAAATCACTATTCCATTATAAACTTATAATTCATTCTTTCCAATGAAAATGAACTATTTTATATATACATTAGTATGCGTTGTGCAATTATTTATTTATTATTCTAAAACTTATAATTCAATGTTTATTCATTTGAAAAATATTAAAATTTTTATACTAAATTTTTATACCAAAAATATATTTTAAAAAACCTATTTCTTATGGAATATTATATTACTATTATAAAATTTTGTAAATTAATATTATTAATACAGCTATCCCTTAATTAAAATCTTTATTCAAATATTTATTACTAAACAAAAAAATATATATATTTTTGTTTTAAAGGAAAGTTAACGATGTTCATAGTGAAAGGAATAATTAAAATATCCTCGATAATATTGGATATCGCATTATGCAAAAAATAAAAAATTAGTAACAGTACATATATATATATATATATATATATATATATATATATATATATATTAGTATTATTAATATATAAATATAAATATTATATAAATAAAAATATATAAAAAATAAAAATAAAATAAATATATAAAAATATATAAAATATATAAAAATTATATATATATATATATATATATATATATTACATTCATGAACGTAAATTCCAGAAACTTTTTTATTACGTGTATTGGTATATATACATGTTTATATTTATTTATTTATTTGTTTGTTTAAAATGACGAAAATTTTTTAATGCATTGAATCATAAAATTTACTTCGATGCCTTCACTTTTGGAGGATTTATTCGCTCGTTCAATTAATTTTATCTTTACAATTTTCTTCAAAGTAATAAATCATACATGTAATAAATACTTGAACTTTTTCATGTACAATCTGATAAGTGACATATATTTTTATTGATTTAATATATAATTTGTAAATTTATACGGATTCTCAGCTATTCATTACGTATTACTGAAGTATACAAGTATGGCACAATCCACGTTTGTAGTAGTATATCCATGTGGCTTTTTTTCGCTTCATTTGCAGCGTCAAAGGTCTCTTTAAACGGTTGAAGGACCAAATAATTTGTCAATAAAAAACGTATCATTAACTGTAAAACGCACAAATTCATAAATCCAGACGTTCTTTATTTATCGAAATATTGTCACTTTCCGATCGGTAGAAGCGTTTTCCACTAGCGACTGCCTCCCACTAATCGATCATTCGCTCTCCTTTTTCAGAGTCTAGTAAAGTAAAGAAAGCGAAATCTTCTCGACGACCACGCGGCTGCACTTCCTTAACATGACAATGTCGTGCTGCGACGGATTCCGACTGCCCGCACCCTCGGAGTGCTCGCTCCGGAGTAAGGCGCGCATCGACGCCCTCTTCGAGGAGACGCAATCCGTGTGCAGTTCGAGCCTCGCGGGTGGAGGCTGGTGTACGGCCGGGGGTGCAGTGGCTGGCGACGACCCCCGGCGATGCTACCGCGAGGAGGACCAGCAGCGGAGGGTGAACAGCGCTGTACAGGCGCGCATCGAGGCAATGTTCGCCTCGGTCGAGGCCGAGAACGTCGGCGAATGCGCGGCCGCTGTATTGCCGGTGAGTAGTTCATGTCTTCTTGTCCTTGTTCGTCCTCGAGTCCTGACTTTGAGAATACCAAATCACTGCTATTTAAAGATGTAATGGCTTTGACAATGGGATTTATGAGAGTAATCGCTCGGTGGCCACGAGATTGACACGATCCCGGTTTCTCGCCGGGATTCACGAGGACAATTCAATTGTCAACTGCAGCGATTTGATGTTACTCGACCTCAAATTGATGAACATCACGAGCAATGTAATTTATATCCTTATTTCGGGTTATGATCGACTGACTATTATCCGTAATTTCCGATTTAGCACAGATTAATAAATTTATCATAGACTCTGACTTTTAATTTTCTCACTTTATTCATAAGGGCTGCGGTTTAAGATTTTTAATAGGACGATTTTTTCATTATCCAGGACTTTGAAAGAAGAGAAATAAATTTTTACGCGAATGCATTTATGAATATCAACATAAAGATTCGGAGCGACGTTTCCTTTGAAATCACATCATTTTAATGGCATTTCAATCCTTGGGACAATGACAAGACTCAACAAGGAGGCCAATTATGCGTATTATAACTGCTTCTGATTTTTTTCTCATTCATTGACTTATAACTGGTGTTGGTGTCGATATCATAGATTGTGGTAGGTCATGCGGTGAAGGTCGACGTCTTACGCTTTCTCAAGCAACTTACGACACTTCATTCGAGCACGCATTATTTATTTATTATTGATATCAAAGAATAGAATTTAGCATGATTTCAAATTACAAAAAATTTGTTCTTTTCCTACATATAAATAATGATGATGACGATGACGACGACGACGATGATGATGATGATGATGATGATGATGATGATGATAATAGTTATGACGAAAAGGACAACAACAATTATAATAATCCTTATCTTAGTAATAGATTGATTCTGCTTACTTGTTATAAAACATTTTATTAATTATAATTCTATCATTACTCGGAGTGATAAAAAAAAAGAGTCCTTACAATTTGTACGATTTTATCGAGAATTTATATTAATCATATAATTATGACTCGTTATGGATAATCATTAAATTTAGATCAATCATTTAATTTGTCACTTATTGTTTATTTTTTATTATTATTTTTCTTTTAAATCTCGTGTTACCATCCTTATTTATTTCACGTTTCAATGTAGATTAGTCGTGTTAATAATTGAAACGTAAAAATCTTACATTCCATATAAGAACAAACAAATATTATATTTTCTTAAATATCAAGAAATGATTAACATATAACCCGTTTTACAATAATATTTTCGAAGGGTATAAAAAATGCCATAAATAAGTTATAATCCGCTACAGTTATTGAAAAGACTATAGTTCTATTAACAATTAATTTATATGTAAAATTAATTTTTTTTTAATTTCATTTTATTACAAAGTATAGTGAAAAAGGTAAGAACGATAAGATAATTTTGCCTACCAAAAGGTTTGAAATAAAAAGATATGAAATAAAGGTTGGAACCGCATTTTATGAGTTTAAAAATCATAATTGGAAATAAGTATTAAAAATAAGCATATCAATAAAATTTTTATTAGATTTTATTTTAAAACCTCTGCAGTTACTTTATATATATATATATATATATATATATATATATATATATATATATATATCTTTAATACGCTTATTTTACAGAAAATAACGATTATTTTACAGCAAATAAATATTTATGATTATATTAAAATTTTTATAGCCTTTTTAGCTATGAAATTATATTTGTATTCTAAAATATTGTATTTTAATATATATATAAACTATCAATTTTAGTTATTTAATGGAATGTTCGAAAAAGTGTATGTAAGTAGGTGATTATTGTAATAATATTAAGTTGGCTATTATTATAAGAATAATTTATCATTGCAATTTTATCTTTTACAAACAATTAGAATTATCATATATTATTGTTATTATTAATAATCCAATTAACATTGAGTACATAATCTACTTTCACTTCAGTGATAAATAATATTAAACAAAACACTGTTGTTTTATTTTTATATTTTTATTTGATGTAGAAATAATTCAAGATATTCATAATTGGGACATGTATTCGACGATTTAGGATTATGTCAATTTTGGAAACTTTTTATTTGCATCAAAATAAATTGAATTATTTATGTCGTGTTACAATGTCTTTAAAAACAAAAATAAAAAAATAAGAGAACATCTTTTATCGTGGCTAATGTCCTGATGATATCAAAGGGGAAAATATTGAAACGAATAATGTAAAAATAAATTTATTAATAAATAATATGTTCGATAATGTATGCTAGAGTGAAAGCATCATTATTGCATTTAACATAATTGTTCACAATACCATTTGCAGACATTTTACTTACGTCACGCGCACGACCGATAATCAATTTCCTCACCAAACGTATCCTTAATTAACGTTCTTAATTGAAAAGTACCGGTCGAAAATGCGGAAAATAATTTATGCAAATGATGCGATCGCATTCGACTTGTACGGGCCAAAATAACGAGCGTTGAAGCAGAAACAAATTCGGAGATTGAAGACGAGTGAGAAGACCTCTGTGGAGGCGAGAGAAGCGGCAATAAGCCATTTTCACTTATGCTAAATTGCCCCATACCTCTCCCTCTCCATCTCACCGCTCTCAACTTCTTATATTATTCACGAGGATAATCGCCAAGTTCATCGGATACTTTCGTTTAGGCCCAATTAAAAGTAGAAACGTCGATGACTCGCCGCGATATAAATATTTATCTATGTAACGCGAGGAATACGCGCCGCACATGCTAATGGCGATGGGAATTCATTATCTTTGCTTTAATAAATCGTGTACGTCTTTACGAATTTGAGACGCGGTTCGTGAGAGGAGGTAGAGGAGACGGAGGGGTGGTAACTTTTAATTAGATGTGCATTGAGAGGTCGAGGCGCATTTTGCCGAAGGGATATGACGCGATGAGATTTAGAAATGCGACTGTCGATGGAAGTACTTTTAATTTTCTTTCAAGCATCTTGTCGAAGAGGGAGGGAAAGTCACGTATATTTTCATTTCATTTCTCGCATACACGGGACATAGGACTCCACGTGAGCATATAAACCCAATCTTTTGATTGTTTTAAAAATAAAATATAAACGTTTCGTTGGAAGCACGAAAGAAGCCTTTAAATTATTTCCTTAGTAAAATTAAATTGACGAATGTTAATAATAACAGTCGTATTAATTAGCATGGAAATTTGTATAAATATATCAAAGAAGCTTTGTCAATAATATTGGAAATTTTCTAATATTTTTTACTCTTAATATGTAAAGTCTACTAATGTTTGAATTTCATGCAGAATTTCATCCATATTACGAAAAGTTAAATTTATTTAAAAATTGTACAATTTTAGAATTTAATTGTTTTTTCTTTTTTTTTCATTAAAAAAAAAAATTTAATAATACAGTGATATATCAGACATTCGAATTGATTAAAATTATTCATTCAAAATTATAAACATAATAAAAATAATCCATTATAATAATTATTTATTATGAGAATTAAAAGTATGTATATTATTTATATTTTTAATGCTGACAAATAAAACGAAAATTTCCTCCATGTTTTATTTCTCATGCGTACTCAATATTATGTTAAATATCACGGACATTATTTTATTAAAAATAAATTAACGACATCGAATGATTAATAATATTACTGAATGATTGAATACATATAATGTAGATCTAATTCACAATGCAATACATGTTGTACTACAATTAACAACGTCAACGTGCAATTGTTGTCCCGGAAAGAGAAATTTACCAAATGCAGCTTGATAATTAATAGATCTGGACTCTTGTAGCTTTCAAGTTGATAATTAGATATGTTGAATTCAATTCCCGTACTAATGAATATCCACCTTTATCTTGTAATCGAGACTTTCTATGACTCGAGCATCGGAAATATGAGATTTTCATTTGGAAATTATTAGTTTCGCGAGTACGATGAAAAGAATTTTGAAAATTATAGGATTTTGTATTTTTCTTCAAAAATCAGTTTAAAATACGTAAAAATAATAATAATAATAATAATAATAATAATAATAATAATAAGAAGAAGAAGAAGAAGAAGAAGAAGAAGAAGAAGAAGAAGGAAATAAAAACTATACAATGATAATTGTCAATAATGAACTGCGGCCATTAATGCAGAACCCGGTTACATTTCTATAAAAATTGCGTATAAGCTCTCGTTTTATCCTGATATGAATTATTTAATACGTAATTTATGCATAATTTTTATTTATCTTTTCTGTATTAAATTTCATTTTAAAGAAGAAAAATTTTAAAACCTTCCTAGCATGAAATAACTCTAAACTGTAATATTCGTTAACTTATATTAGTTCACTACTATTCAATGATTGAATGTAATGGATTGTGTAACTTTATATTATTATTTAAAACGTCATTTTACAAAACTTTATAATTATTTACTAAAATATTTTATTGGATAGGATTCTTTAATCATAATAATTGGCTTAATCAATAATAAAATACTCACTTAGATTTCTTGGAGTGAATTAAAATTTTATTTTTCTACATATGTTTAACAAATTAATACGTGACTATTGTAAATTTCATTTACTTCTAAATAAAATAATTTGACTATTAAATATGCCATTAAATATTTAACATTCTCAGGTTAATCGTAAAGTTTTCCTACTACATTCATAAATAAAATAGCAAATTATTTCAATATATTTATGATTTTAATTCCAAAACTTTTTCAAATAGTATTATTAATTTTTAAAGAATGATGATACACAGCAGCTGCTCCTTAAAAATGATAAACCCTTTTCAAATGATAAGGTTTTATCGATGTTTTAAGACTATATAATTAACGTATTAGTGAATAAAATTGTAAAAATATAAATTGTATTGTTTTTCAATTTATAAGTTGTATCGATCGTAAGGTAAATATTGTCACTTTTATTAACAATAAGAACATTTTAATAATTTATTTCATTTTTATGTCAAAGCTTATCCACCTTATACTTTCTATATTATTGATTTAAAAATTACCTTGTAGTTTAAGTAGAAAATTAGTTGAAAATGCAGTTTCAAGTGACGGTAAATTGAAATATCATTAAAATCACATTAAAAGGTATTTCCACTTATCAATATCTTTTATCAGCTTTCTCATGAAGGAACATAAATAAAATACACACATAATGAAAAACACATAAATAATGGTAGTAGATAAATAATTTTTATAAAGATTATTATCTACATTTTCTATAGTACTCAATTAGTACTTTAAATTATTTCATGTTGTTCGAAATGTATGATATTATAAATTTATATATTTATTTCAAATTCTTCATCAAGTTATTATTTGTAGGAATTTTCTGATCTTTTATACACCTTAAAAGGAATAAATATTTAAATGTACAAACTCTTTGCTAGTTAATACATGATTTCGAATAATTATCGAAGGCAATAATAAAACAAAATAAAAAAAAAAATCAAATAGAAAATATAAAAATAAAGATGAAACTTCCCAGGCAATAAAATTGTTATTAAAAATAATAAATTAAATTATAAAGAATCAGTCTTCATGAGCTACTTGTAAAAGTCGTCATTCATAAGATTAGATCTCTCTTGGAATATTAAGTGATCTGTGCTCATTTCGACGACGAGGGCTTACAAATCCTCCAATTAACACATTTTGTCCTTGCCAATGATAAATTCTTTCCTCGATTGCCAATTAATATTCCGAGAGGTGCTTTCAACTTAATTTTAATCAGCACCGTATTCCCCAAGATGCCTAATAAAAAGTAACAAGTGCGCCCTTGGTTTCAGGTAAAGTACATGGGGGCGGCGCCGGTGGGGGGCCGCGTGGCGTCGGTCCGCGGCCTCCAGGAGCCACTCCGTCAGCTGGCCGAGCGTATCGACGAGTCTGTGAGTGCGGAGCTCGAGATCAGCCGACGCGGCCTCACCTTCCGCGCTAACGACCTCCACGAGAAGAACAACCCCTTCCGGAGAATCGCCGTCTGGAGCGCCTTGAAGCTACAAACACGACGCCGCCACAATTCTCTATCCGTAATTATATATGCTTGTATGGCTATTATTAGCTGGTGTGAGGAAAAACTTATGCGCGAAAATTATGCCTGTCTAGGTCAGTTAATTATTTGCCTACATTAGTCGTGCACCTGCGCGTCCTTTTCGCGCAGCAAATATTATCGCCTTAGCTGTCATTGCTTCCATTGCTTTTCTTACAAATGCAAGCGATTTATTATAGTTATGGACAATAGTTCCACTTACGGGCTTAAACATTTATTTTCACTCTTACGACTCTTTTAGTCCTTGTAAAATTATCGACGAACGATGCATGTAGTAATCGTCGCATCTATCCGCTGAAGCCTAGAACCTCTAAATTTTTTACAACACTTTCTAACGGTACATGATGCTGCGACTATTAAAAAAAAAATTGAATAATAATAATAATAATAATAATAATCATCGTTAATAATAATAGTCATCGTTTAAAATGCATATTGCCTTTAGTTTACAAATGAAACTTTTACCAATGCACCTGCGTATTGGAAGATCAATCTTTTTTCTTTTGGTATAAAGTATTTCCTTACAAGCGCTAAATTCTTGTAATACGATTGTTATTTCGCTTAATAACAATCATAGTTTGATCAACTAAATTATGTATAAATATATATGAAAGAATAAAATTACAAATATATTGTCTGTAAGTATGAAGAAAAACAACTCATGATATTGTTGAACATACTTAAGAAAAAAATCTAATAAGAATTTATTAGTTAACTATGTATTAAATAAAACTTAGGTGCTCTTTCCAGTTAAGTTACGATGTATTTCCTACAATTTACGTAAGATTATGGACAGAGATTATGAATAGTGCGGTAAAGCGCATAGCCACGTGCATGAATCAATTACCCAATTACCCATTACATTACAATTACCCATTTTCAGTAACTAAATCACCTGCACCTTGTCCATCACCTACTCCCCCACCCCTCCTACCGCCACGGTCCGAAACAATACAAGCAGAGCTGCATTAGCGTAGGATTTCGTATTGAATTAGCGGATTAATG